CAATAGTTATGCAGTTGCACTTAAGGTTCTGAACAAGACATCACCAGTGGGAACATAAGTACTCATCGGAAACAAAATGTTGTTCTTAGATACTAGCAACTACATATTTAAAAGATTGAAGGAAAATTCAGCTTATTATTTCAGCTTTACAAAAGAATTACATGCTAAAAAATCACTTCATTTCTCAAACCTTATAGAAATTCTGCAGTTTTAAAAATTAAGCTGAGTTAAAATTGTTTTTGCGTGAAGAATTTTTAAAATTATGAAAGAGATACTGTGGTGTCATAAAATGCTAGATGGGAGTCACCATTTGAGCTAACTTTTTTAGCATTTAGTGTCCTTTGTGTGCAGAATATATGTCCATAAACATTGAATCATACCTTCAATAAACATTTAACAATAATCTGTGTTGATACACTTTGAAGAATGGTGGAAATGTCATGAGTAAGACACTGTTTTTTCTATCAAGGGAATCAGATAAGCAAATCTGGTTTATAGTCTTTCCTTCTTGTCCCTCAAACTGCAGGTCTACAACCAGACTTGTGTAGAAACTCAATAGATGTTTATTGCATGCTACTTGATGATGATAAACATTTATTTTGGTTACTTCAAGAAACTAGGAATAATGTTGGAAAAAATATTTTCTAGATATATAGAATGTCTTCTATTTAGTGAGAAGTTTGAAGAATAGTTATGCCTCCTAAAACATGAATTACTTATGGTGTTCATGAAATTAAAAATATTCATATTGCCAGCACTGTGCTATGTGTTCTGAAGCTTCAGCAAAGCTACTTAAGCAGTGCAAAGAGCCTATTCATTTTCAGCCTATTCCTGAAAGAGAAACATGGCAAAGGTCAATGTCTTTGCTTCAGAAATAATTTGGGCCCCTTCTATTCTGATTAAGAGCTAAAGTTTTTAGCTGAAATTATGAAAAGAGTTTATTTTTGTAGAGGATATGAGTCTTATTTGAAACATTTTGCTTGCTTACAAACTCCTCATACTTCATTTTTACAGAAGTTTTGCATTTTTAAATGAATGCTTAATATTTTTTGTTAGCCTCTAATTCAAGTTTAGCATGTGGATAGCTGTAGTTGACACTAATAGCTGATGTTGTGCTCTACTCTGTGTAGTGTGGGAGTAGGAGTGGGAATGGGAACTGTACTAGAAATAATACAGGCTTAGGACAGGGCCTGGTCCAGACCTCATCTCTCTTCAGTGAGGTAGTGTTAAGGCAGTCCCTTTACCATTTTGGTCTGTAGCATAAGACAGAAAGCAATGTTAATGTTTAAATGTTTGGTTTGTTTGCTTTACTTATGGATGGGGTTGGGGATGAAATGATAGCCTGGGGTGGGGGGAGTTATAACTGATAACCTTATGGTTATGATACCTAAAAATTACATTTCAGTAGAATATTCTTTGAATGAGGTATACCATCTTTTTGTAAACACTCTTAAAGCAGGATATGAGGAAGGAAGTCTTGCTGTTCATTTACCCATTCTTTCAACATTTACTGATCATCTTTTACATGTCATGCACTGGTTTAGGTGTTCAGGATTCAAAGATGAATAATATATACTCCCTATCTTCAAGGAACTTATGGTGCAAAGGAAAAGATAGATAAAAATAAAAGATGATAAACTATTGATAAGTGAAATGAAAGGTAAAGATATTATTGGAATATAAATAAAAAACACTTCATCTACTAAGGTAAGGGTGGGGATGGGCAGAATAGGCTTCCTGGAATAGGTAATATCTTGAGCTGAACTTTGTGGAGTTGGTATTCACCACAGGAAGTAAAGTTGGAATAGTATTAGCAAAATCATGGAAGGAAGAAATGCTGTAGCATGTGGAAAACTATGAGCAGTGTGATGACAAAAAATTTCCTTGTTCATTTTTGCTTGTCAAACTCATATATATATTACAACCTCCACTGCTATTGCTAAGTAGGGAAAACACAAAATTTTGTAACTCTAAAAGTGATATATGTTTTTAAGAGTATGGTCACTCGCCAGGGCTAAACTCACTACAGGCTATAGTCAAAGTGCAGTTTCAGAAAAATCCTGCATATTACTTTGACGTTTCCAGAATTAAGATACATAGAACTCTAAAATAGTCTTTGTATGCATTTGTCTATGACAAATGTTAGAGACCCATCTATTTATTCATGAAACATAAAGCTGGGAATTTTCTGTAAAGGTGGCATTTCTTCCTACACCTCTCCTGATTGTAATGTTACGTTTAAATTTGAATTATACTTCTCAAGATGACTCCATAATAACTTGTTTCCCTTTAAGTCTTCTGGTTCCATTACGATACTAGATTTTTTCTTTGCTTCTTTCTCCATCTTTACCCAGGAAGTTAAGGTAATACATAGATGTAGAATAAGTAAACATAGTGAGTTTGGGTATGCACACAATTTAAATATTTATAATGTTTAAACTCAAAACCATAATATGTTGGAGTAATCACATAGTAATAATAAAACTACTTCAGCATCTGCTAAGTGACATTGACAGTTGGTTAAGTCCAGTTTAATTGATTCCTTCAGAGTTGAACTGAGAATACATTTGTGAAATACTCAAAAGTAGGCAAGGAAAGAAAATTTTCTAGTCCCTGAATTGAACATAGTTTCAAATTGGATACCTAGAAAGAAAGAGGAAGGAAGGTAGGAAGGAAGGAAGGAAGGAAGGAAGGAAGGAAGGAAGGAAGGAAGGAAGGGAAAAAGGGAGAAAGAAAAACTTTTTTTTTTTACTTTCTCTAACAGAATTTTTAAAGTTATTTTTGCACACAAAAAAATTCATGGTCCTGGAACCAATGTTTGGCTCTCTTCAAAAGAATGGCAATTTTCCAGTGGCTGCTCACATATTTTCCTCAAATAGATGTTCAACTATGAAAAATGAACAGGGTGTCTGTAGATTGTGTGGAAGGTTTGTATATCTGGGATTCTACATTGGTCAAGCATTACTACATATATATTTGAGAAACTAAGTTCTCTTTTTCTTTCTCAAGGGGAAAACCATGCCTCGAGATAACTTAGACTTATAAAAATGAACAAGACACTTTGACAGTGTCGTGTCTGCCTTCTTGAGGATGGTTTTCTTTCAGTGCTCAGATCTAGTTTAGTGAAACTTCCTTTAGGATCTGGCTGAATCTATCTCCTCAAATGTTTTTAAATCAATGGCAACTGTAAAAGGAACAACTATAAAAGAATACAAGTTAGTTTCAACATTTGAAGTTATTTTTAAAATGCATGCATTGAAATTGACGTCAGCTATAAATGTTCCCATAACTTTTGGGACGTTATTGTCAAGTTTGATAATCAAGTTGGTTTTGAACTATTTTAATTCAAGCAATTAGAATTATTTTTCCAATGTTAATATAATTCATTTGCCACATCTCTGAGGTGGGTGGGCAGCTACTCTAGCCAGTCTCTAAGAGAAGTTGAAGTGGCATCTCAGTTCACATTGGATTTCATTCATGCGGTCATGACACCGCTTACTATGTACACAAACAATTCACATACACGTTTTTCGATTTTATGTAGAAATGAATTATGCAAATGAACATCTCAAGCAAATCGACTGTTGAATATTCCAATTCTGCTTTTATTTTTGCCATCATGGGAGGAAGTGATGCTATAGCATGTGGAGGACTATGAGCTGTGTGGGATGAAAAACTTGATTTCTCTTTTAATCTCGCCTACTTGTCACCCTCAACCCTAATTAGTCACAAAGTCCTGAAACAAGTGTCTAATTAAAAAAAAAAATCATCGGTATACTGAACTAGTTCAGGGCCTTATCCCCTCAATCCTAGACCATATAGTAGTAATATTGACCATCCTGTTTTCTTTTTGACTAGTCCAAGACATTCCACATATTGCCAGTCAGATTCCTTAAACTTCTTTTGATAATATCATTCTTCTGCTCAAAAACATTGTCTGTCTCTTTCTCTGCTTTCCTTATAGAAAAAGATCAAAATTCTTTAGCCTAGAATTCAAGACCTGCTGTATGCACTGTGTACTCTTCTATTACTTTCAAGTGCCTATTATTCCCAGCACTTATATATAGAAATGGTGCAATAAATGGTTTCTATTGACTATTTTCCACCTTTTAACTTTCACACAGGCCTCTTCCACAACTAAATTTCTCTCTTATTCATACATCAAAATACGCTCTTCAAAATTTAGCTCAAACAGTAGGTTTTCTGCAGACCCTCTTTCTCATCTCTTCTTTATGAAGTGAAAACATAGTCACTCATATTTTGCATTCGTGACACATTATTAAGTAGTTGCTATGCTCCAGATAATCAAAGACACATATGACATCCAGCTTCAAGGTACTTACTTTGGAACATTAATCAAATAAACAGCTATAACATGGTGTGATCAACACTACAATAAAAGACAACATGAAGTCCAGCAAATTTTCATGCATAGTGTTATAAACTCAATGGTCAAAGGGGAGGGCCAAAGAAAATTCTATTGTGCCAATGAATCTTGAGTGTCTTGAAAATAGTAGAAAGACATTTCAGTCAGAGAGAATAGTACTGTAATGATACAGAAGAATGAAGAACACAGGAGTGTTCAAAACTCAAAAGCAAATATGACTTGGCTTGAAAGTAGTACAGTCAACAAAAAATGAGACAACCATTTTATAAAATACTAGTAATGCCATGCTAAGAACTGTACCTGAAACATAGTGGGTGCCCAATAAATGCTTATTCAATATGTGAAGCACTTTATCTACTACTAGTACAGTAAATCTTTATGTTCAATTTTTTTTTAATTTAATAACTTACTAGTTTGCACCTTGGTTCATTGAAGAAAAACTGTGTAGTCACACTTTGTGTTTTCAGCACTCCATCTGTAATAGATTTTACAGCTGTTATTGTAACAATTAGAAAATCTTTAATATTAGTACCAAAAGTGGAGAATTCTTAAAGTTAATATGTGTAAATTAAATGTTCACATTTATTTGTGTTTTTCTTTTTTCTTCTTCTAGGGTCAGACATTGTTCAGTGGTTAATAAAGAACTTAACTATAGAAGATCCAGGTAAATAAGTCATTTTCTCATTGCTAGTTATTTTTTCTTTGTGGTTTTAAAAAACATGTTTGCTCAGGGCTATTTAATATGACAAGCATGCATATAATCTCCTGAAAGATTATAGTTAAATTTGAGAAGTGCTTTCAGCATTTATACAAATTTTGTGGTAGTCAACATATATTTAGCTAAAATTCAGCATGGTTTTATTATTTTTCATATGCTTAGTACCCCATTATATATTATTTGATTTAGATGACTGGCGATTGTAAGAATGAATGAGCTGTATACATGCCCATAAATAATTATACAGATAATTTATAGCAAATGATGATAAAGTAATAACATTTCCCTTTATAATACACATATAAGTGCATCTCATTAGCTTACAATTTTTACTTACAAAGTTTAAATGAAGTTTGTAATTCTGATATTTTTAAAAATCATGCCTACTTGGGGTGTATGTGTGTGTATGCACATGCGTGCGTGTGGGTAATCTCTGTTTACACCATCAACCCATTCACTGTGGTACACATTATGTCTATTCTGCAGCAGAAAGCTAATTTTCAGAGTGAGGAAACACTGACTGCCAGCTAACATTTTACAATGCCTGGAATAAATTCCTACATATGCAAAGCATTTAATAACTTTTAAAAAAGTATCATGGAAAAGCCTTCACATGACAAACAATTCACATCACTGAAATGAAAATAAGATGCATATTGTTTAGAGAAAATGCTAAGAAAACAAAAAATAAAATAGCTTGTGAAAAACTAGAATTGCAGCAACTGCAAATACCATGGTAGAGAAAGTCAGTGATACATTAACTTATGCAACACATCATCCCATTGTTAGAAATTTGGCATGACTTTTGCTCTGTTCTCTGGTGATTACCACCTTAGAATGGTTTCAAATGAATGGTACATGAAAATGCAAGACTTTTATTTTTTCCTCATTTTGAGCTAACTTTATAAAACTGCATTGGAAAATGCAGCTCAAATTCTGTACATAAAAACCTATGAACACTCCCTGCTCACTTGGTATACTAACTTTTTAGATACTTAGCATAGCAGGTGAAATAGGATTAAAACAATTAAGGAAAGATGAAGCAGCTATTGCTAGTGTCATATTATTACTAAGTGAAAAGGAGGACATAATTATTAGGAAAGGAAGTTGCAGTCTTGCCAAGTTTACATTTCAGCCTTACCTAATTGGCATGCTTGATCTTTATAAACTGTAGGACCAGACAAATAATCCCAGAGCTTAAAAACATATTGGCACAGTCATAGATAACCAGGGGACTTCTGATCTGAGAGAATATTATAGATCAGAGGGTGAAGTAGATTTTTTAAAGTATTTTTTCTGTAAGTTAAAAACCGAAGGTGTACTTCAGTAATAGTCTGAGACAAGAAAAGTATTTACAGACTTAGTAAGCTCCTAAGAAACAATCATTTACATGTGGGATCTCATTTTAGCTGTAATATGTATGAAAAACTGTTTATACTTGCTTGCTCCACACTTTAAAGATGTTGTGAAGATTCATTAGAAAGTGTATGAAGAGATAAAGCCAGTCATATCCAGGAGAGAACATACTTGTTTATGACTGACAGAAAATTAGTTTTCAATTTGTTGGTTTGTTCTTTGAGTAAACTAATTCATCCTCTGCAGAATATATTGCTCTGTACTAGGTTTTAACAAGAGTAAGCAGCATTGACGATTGTTCTATATACATGACAGATTGCACACACACAAAATAAATCAATCTAGTAGCTATTCTGATCCCAATTAAATATAGTTAACAATGTAGCTGATATTTTTAAAGTTACTTTGATGGCTGCATATATGAAATCAAACCATTTTGGAATTTCTCATGAAGGGAGAATATGTAATTTTTATAATGCTAGGTCTTATTTTAACCATACCAACTCCCTGAAGATGTTTAAAAATAGAAGAGAAACCCATACTTGGTTTTATCTTGTGAGCTATCTGATAGCCAAAGGTTTTGAAGGCTCTAGGGATCGTTTGAAGTTCTAGATGTCAATAATTTGCTGAAAGAGGATTTTGTGGCAAAGTGAATGAAGAGACTCATTCCGGGTATGAGAGAAGATTCTGATTGCACATTTGGAGACAGGGAGAGGACTGCATGATCTTCAGGGCCTTATTCAAGACAAAGGAGTCCATGTTATTTGTACACTTAGTGTTCAATATTTTGTTAATGAGCACTGAATACTTTTTTTCTATTACAGCAATGCAGTACACATTTAGCTGAATACTTTACTGGAGATTTAGCCAGGCTCGGTGGCTCAGCCTGTAATCCCGTGCCTTTGGGAGGCTGAGGTGAGTGGATTGCCTGAGCCCGCGGGTTC